ATTATATGTGATCGTAGAGCTAAATTATTCCTTATTAGGTATTAAAGATTATTAAATTTCTTACTTACACGGTGACTATACCCTTATTAAACTGCATTTTCCACCATCGCTGGCGAATTTACATGGAACTACGCTTCTAACTACAGCTTGCAAGCTGTAGTTCGAACTACACAAGTTAACGACAGTGTTTGCAAACGTTCGTTCGAACTATGGTTTCGGGAAACACCTGCGTCGTTTAACAATGCATCGTACTACGTAAGTGTGCAGTATCGTTACTTATGTAGTTTTGAACTATGGTTTCGGGAAACACCCGCGTCGTACTTGCATAGTTCGCACGACAGAAGTTGTTAACGTTGTTAGCAACAATGGTTTTGAGAAACGCACCCCCGATCGTCCACTCCTTCCGCGTGCCATGCCCCCTCGTTAACCCCGTGTGGAATCCCCGTGTGATCAGCTGTTTCTGTTTGTTGTCATTAGTCCTCTGTATTTCGTCCGCGTTTCAATTTGTTTCCCCAGTCCGGTCATTGTATTGTCCGTCTGCGTTTTGCCTGCCTTACCTGTAATTAAACCCCATATTCCCCAATACCCTGACGCCTGCGTCTTTGTCTCCGTTCCATCCCCGCTCGGCACAACAATATTATTATAATTAAATGTATTAATGGTTTATTATTAATATTAAAATAATGAATAAAATCTTTATTTTAAAATGTATTTTATTATATAATAATAATTACTGTTACTGTCTATCTCTGATTGAGCTGTAGAAAGTTTTTGGCCATCCATAACTTGAGCTTTTTAACTGCATTTAGATATCATCTTTTGGCCTTGGGTCAACAGCAGACACGGTGATGTAAAGTTGTTTGTCATAGGCATAACTATGGAATCTGATGCTGTGTCTCCTGATGACGTCTCCAAGTGGCAACAAGTAGATATTAAAAAGTATAGGAACTAAAATTGGTCCTAGAGGAAAACCATGGTTCATTTTATACCTTTTAGATGAACATTCAGTAGTACTACTACTGAGCTTATTCTTGTATTCATATTGGACCTGAGGTCATGTACAATCTTGACTAGTGCTGTCTCGGTACTGTGGTTGGTCTGACAATCAGATTGGTATTTTACATAAATATTGTGAGAATTCATAAAATCTAATAGTAGATGTTGTACTTCTGTGGATGCAAAATCTTTTGGAGTATGTCTAAAAGTTTGTAAGTAGAGGAGCGTCTGTATATGCCAATACACACTGTTTGGGAGCATTTCAACTTGAGAACTTGCATAATGCAGGTTCAGTTTTACAGTGATTGCGTTGCAAATTTATTTTCTTTTAACCCTCTGGGGTCTAGGGGTAGGGAACACACTTTCACTGACTGGGGCATGATCACACATTTCTTTAAATATCATAAACTTAATTCATGGCAAATAAATTATTTCTTATATTTTTGTTTTGGTATTACACTCATCTTAATTTTAATGTATATTGTAAATATGTCAGATTTATGTTAAGTTTGTAATTTGACATCAAAGTATAGAAATTGCAAAATGCAGTTTGGAACACATTATACAGTACATAGTAAGCAATGGTGCCAGTTTGTTTTGATCCCAGATATCTGATCACCAAAGTCTTGGGTACATGAAGATGACTAAATGGTGTAGTTGCAGCATTCAGTTGGATAAATAAATAAGAAAAACTCATGATACTATGTGTATGCATGAGCCATTCACACCTGGCCACATCCTCCCCCCCTTTTATGGTGCTGATGGGGATGTTTCGACAGCAGCTAATCTGCTAATCTTTATCGGCAAGTATTCAAAAGGCAGATGTATTTTTACAATTAATACAAATACATGCAGTGAGACAAATTATGTAAACACAATATCGAAGAAGTACCAATCTGACAGAACAAACAAAGCTATTCAAATGAAGTAACATTCCTTTAAATCATCGTCAAGAAATCTCTGCAATGGAATATCTACAACCAGGTTTATAAACTACCATGCATCATTGCATCATAACTATGTGTCATGATGTACAAACATTTATGAAAAAAAGCTCAGATGCTCTGTATTCACATTTTCTGCTCCAGGTGCAGCATAATCTTGGACAGATTCAGTTCACGGCCTGGGAAGGTAGAGAACAGAACTGGATCGCGTTTCACTGCTGCATTGTTCATCAAATTACCATGTGAATGCAAATTGAATACGCAGTAATGCAGCTATTTAGAATGCAAATAGCGATCTTCAAGGTGAGGGCAGTACTACACGCCCCCGATGCAGGTAAAATAAAGAAAGGTGACATTTACTATTTTGCCGATTTTAACCTAATTTTAAAAACTTTAATACTTCCAATAATGGATGTTTTGAAAAGATGACAGATTACGGATTTAGTCAGCATTTTTTCATGATTCTACATAAAGATTTCAGCGAGATATAAACTGAAATAGACGCAAAAAATACGCTGCATTGCTGACGATGCACTCAACCCCAGAGGGTTAATCTCAAGTTGAAATACTCCCAACCTTTGAATAGTGTCTGCCGTTTTCTATCCCTCATCTCTTGCATTTTCATATTACACCATTCCTACTGCAACCTGCTTCTGTCTTGGTGCTTCAGTTAATATCGCTCATGAACTGCTGTTGTCTGAGCATAATAGTAATAAAGCATGTAATCAAGATAGAGAATTTACCTTAAAAATTTTTATGAATAAAACTGAGTAATCATTTCAGCCCTGTGAAAATAGGTAATAGTGTAGTCGTCATGTCTTTATAGCTTGGAGTCGTAATACAGCATCATTTCAGTGCATTTTTGTGTTGTGGTTCTGTCTGCAGTGTGAAGGGTCTGTGTCCTGGCAGAGAGGGAGTGGCAGAAGACGACAGGGCTGCTGTTGTAGGAGTACCAACAGGCAAGGACCTGTCATGCTCTATGTCAATTAAAAGTGGTACATTAAGATTTACTGGGTAAACTAAAGACAAATGGAACATGCACAGAAAGTGGAATCTTTTAGATTGGATGTGTAAAAGTGTATGGCTACTTTTCATCCAGGGCTGTATGTCTTTTCATGTATCCTGCTTCAAAACTATTATATGACATACAAATACAAATATAGTATTTTATAGCCAACATGTGTAGGTATAAGCAGACATATGTTATACATATGTTGAGAAATTTTGTTTGCATTTTACAATTTTTTAGACCAACCCATGGAAGAAATTGATGGCAGACCTAAAAGGCATAAACATGCAACCAAGAAAAAGAAGAAGAAAAAGAAGAAAGATGAGGAGAAGCATGAAAAAAAATCTCCCCCTCGTTCCAGATCAGAGAGCTCATCTGGTTCAGAATCGGTATCAAAGTCTCCTTCAAAGATGCCACCCATATCTTATCCTGTTGTCCCTTTGGAGAAAAATCAGGAAAGCTCATCCTTTGGGAGCACCCCAAAAAAGTCACCAAAAAAGCTTTCAAAGGAAATGACACCTGTCCAGTGTGAAGTGTTTGTTCAAGTCTCTGAGCAGGATTCAGAAGCTGTGGGCATTCATGAAGTGGTTTCTTCTCAGAAAACAGTAGTAGTGGCAACTAATGTAATAGATAATCAAGTGAATATTGCCAAAGTACTAGATTTACCTGATATAGTTCCTAAAGTTGAAAATGCTCACAAGGAAGAAGGTAGGGTGGATTCTTTTGTCCAAAAAGACACAGAAGAGAACAGTGAATCTATGAATAAAGAGAGAGGCCCATGCTGTTCCCAGACCCCAAAGCAAACCATTGACAAATCTGATTCCCGAAGGGTTTGTTCTTCTTCCAGGTCGTCCTCAAGAAGAAGGAGTAGTCCTAGAAAGAGACATTCCAGGTCTCGATCTAGAAGACGCAAATCTCAGACTTCATCTGTCAATAGATCTGAACAAAAATCCAGTCCTTTATCATCCAGGAAGTGGGAACACTCATATTCCAGATTCTGTATGAGATATAGGAGATCTAGGTCAAGATCCAGACATAGCTCGCAATCTCGATCTACTGTACAACGTCGGTCTCATTCAGGGTCTTTTTCTATGTGCAGAAGGTCACGATCAAGATCTAAAAGGTCACAATCTCGGCAAAACCAGAGGTCTCGGCCAGCAAGAAGGGCCAGGCACTCTAGATCACGATCTCGCTTATATTATAAAAGATCTCATTCAAGGAAGTCTTGTTCCAGGTCAGTCAGGCGGACCAGGCAAACTCGGTCTAGGTCCATTGTAATCCTTAGGCATTCAAGGTCAAGATCATTATTCAGGAGGAATAGACGCTCAAGGTCAAGATCATTGAGACAAATTTGTTCCAGATCGAGGTCTGCAAGAAGACGTCAGTCTAAATCTCATTCACCACAGAGATCCAGGCATTCTAGGTCAACACCGCGAGCTAGGCAAAGAAGATCTCAAACTTTATCCCCTCGATGCAGTAAGAAGTCAAGGTCACCTATAAGACGTTGTCACTCTAAATCTCCTTGTGGAAGCCAAAAACAGTCAAAATCTCCCAAAAAGAACAGACAGTCAATGTCAAGATCTCCAACTAAATACAAATCAAAATGTAGATCAATTTCAGGATTTACTCTGTCATGTGAAAAGAGGCCACTACTAACAGAAGAGAAGAAAGTCTCAGGATCTCCTACCAGAGAACTTGGAGACAGTGACATACCCATTACTGAAATTCATGCCTCAGGATGTAATGCTGACAAAAGAGATGAAGAAGATGCAGTATATACAGCCAAAACTGTCCAGTGTATGAATTTAAAGGGATCACATCTAAAAGAAGAAACTCCAGCATATCCCAGTGATCTTAAATTGGAAAATGCTTTTGAAGAATTTTGCACTGATAATGAAAATAAAATAGCATCTTCTGTTGGTTCTTGGAGGCCAGTACCCTTTCTGATGGATAGCAATGCAAAGCCTAAGCCTATTTCTGCAACAGAAAGTCTCGGTGTCTTCACTTCAGCTGCTGTCACACTCACAGAGCTATCTGAAGAATGTAAATGTCCAACGATGGAAAAAACTCCACTTACTCCATCAACTTCTTGGGACTTGTCATATGAGACCTCTAAAGACCATCTTCAGAATAGCAAAATGTCAAGTTTATCCGAAGATGTAGGCAAAGAGTCTGATTTGGGGTGTAGGTCCTACTTTCCACAATGGAATTCTGAACCCACATCTCCTTTGAACAGAAAGAAAAGCCCTTTCAAAGAGGGCCTATCATCAGTGTCACCATCCTCATCAAGAAAAAAACATTCAAAATCAAGATCTCACTCAAAGAGAAAGAAGTCTGTGTCTACTCGGCGGAAGCACTCAAGATCAAATTCGTCTCCTCGAAGGAGGCGTTCACAGTCAATATTAACTAATCGGAGGAAGAAGTCAAAATCCAGGTCTCCTGGAAGGAAAAAGTCCCCCTCTCAATCCTGGGGTCAGAATAAATCTAAATCTCCCAGAAGGGGGAGGAGATCAAGATCTAAGCTGAAGAAATCACGATCAAAGTCTATTTACAGATCCACCAAAAGGAAGCGGTCTAAGTCCAGAACCCCAGTTCAAAAAAAGCACTCAAAGTCTCGCTCACCTAGGAGGAAACACTCCAGGTCTCGGTCAGCAGCTCAGAGAAGATCCAGATCTGCAGATAAAAGGAGACACTCAAAATCTCTCTCCCGAACTAGAAAGAGGAGGATGCGCTCACGATCTGCAAACCGTAGCCACCGTTCCCGGTCTAGAAGGTCTCGCTCCATATCCCGCAGACAGAGAGGTAGTTTTCGCAGTCGCTCATTTGACCGCAGGGACAGATGGAGACGTGAACCTAGCCATTCTCCTGTTGTCATCCTTCGCAAAAAGAGGTCTGCTTCACGGACTTGTCGCAGCACAAGTAAAACTCCTCCACGCCTTACTGAGCTAGGTACGAGCTACTCTCCTCAAAGCCAGGAAATGGCTTGTGGAGCAAGGCTATGAAGCACTGTGTAATTACTGATCAAACTAATTTGCCTACGTACTAGTCATTGTATAAATTTATTATCGACATTTTATCATATTTATATTGAGTATAATAATTAGTAATTATTAGTAATTGTCATGCACCATTTGATTTTTATAGAGGTTATTCTGACTTTTGGGTAATTTTGTACGACCTGAATTAGCCATATTAACAATGTCAATTTACTGTCTTCCTGGCAGACAAAGAGCAGCTTCTGGAAATTGCCAAGGCCAATGCTGCAGCTATGTGTGCCAAGGCTGGCATGCCCATTCCTGAGAGCCTGAGGCCTAAGGCCACCCCCGCTTCAGTTTCTTCCCCCCTGAACCTGCCCCTGCCTTTGAATTTGTCAATGGGAATGCCCCTGGGTATGCCTAACATTAGTATCAATGCAGCAATGGCGACTATGACTGCTGCCACCATGACTGCTGCCCTGACCAACATGAGCACTCTGGCCAACATGCCTAATTTGCTTAACATCACCAACAAACCATCACCCACAGCCAACACTACCAGTATCGAGGAGGTGAAGAGGAAGGTTACGCAGAAGGCTAACAGCATCAGCATCAAGGAATTGACAGAGGTGAGAGGATGGCTTGGCCTACCCCAACCCCAGCAAGGAATCTTTGTAGGACCTTAAGAGCTTAAAGTTAACAAGCATGTTAATAGTTACCAAGCTCTGAAAAATGGCTCTTGATCTCTGTTGTAAGGTTTTTTCTTTGCTAAAGCAAACTAATTTTATTCCTGTGCTGTACGGATGGATGCATGCATGCATGCATGCATGCATGGATGGTTCGATGTCATTTTTATGATGATAAACATGGCATGGAAATGATGGCACTCTGTCTGCTTCTTCCTGTTATGCAGAAGTGCAAGATGATCGCGGAGAGCAAGGAAGAAATGGCTGTGGCTCAGCCACATATGTCTGATGATGAGGATGATGAGAAGTCATTTGGTGGAGGAGTCTTCCGGGAGAGCAAGGGCATCTCCTTCAGCTTGAGTGTAATGCTTCACCTCCCAGAACATTCCGGATTATGCATTATGAGTTTTCATCTATTGGGCTGCATCCTCAGATGTCATTTTTATATTCCAGTATTGCCCTTTGTGGGGAGCACATATCTCAATTACTTGGCATATATAAGGCTTTAAAAATACTTTATGAAATCCTTCAGATACTCTATTAAACTTCATTTATTGCTGCCTGTAGCACCTTTTATGATTTTTGTGGTTCTGATGTACGATGATTTCAAAAATGGGTTACAGACTAAGTTAACAGGCTATCTCTCGGGGGGGGTATTTTGGTGACACCCCACCCCACCACCCTTCTGGATCAGCTTACTATGGCTTTGGGATGTTGTTACTTGGCCAGAGTTTATAATGAACATTCCCCACAGTAATATTCCTTTTCTCCATACTGGGGCAGGGACAGGTCATTCTTCACCTTGTTGCTCCTTTCGTTGGCAGGCCTTTTTTACCCATTCACTCAGCTGAGCACATCTATTTTTCCTAATTTTACGGTAACCCTCCCAACCCCCCTCCACCGTTCTCGCTCTTACACCCACCTCCTGGAATGTACCCTTTCCCTCCCCCCATTCAGAACCCTTCGGCGAAGTCAGCAGTGAGGACAGAGGCAGCCTTTGCCAAGGAGTTTCCGGTATCTTCGGGGTCACAGCACCGTAAGAAGGAGAGTGAGGGAGACTACGGGGAGTGGGTGCCCATCGACAGGAAGGCAGAGAGGGACAAGGCAGCCAGTGCGTCCATCTTGAGGAGCACAGCGGGGGAGGAAGAGTGCAAGGATAGCAGCAGTGTCTTCCCTGATGTCCCCCTGCAGGTAGGACATGGCTTACACTGGCACACTGCTCACATGGGCTTATCCTTCTGGCCCCTGCTGCTTGCTAACACACTACCATTCAAATGTTTGGGGTCACATAGAATTTGCCTTGTGATCCATGAAAACATACATGAAATGAATTTGAATTGTGAAATATAGCAAAATAAAAAGGAAAGGTTAGAAATTTAACATTGTTGAGGTGATCTGATGAGATTTCATCCCGTGCTTCCTGAAGCATCTCCCACAAGTTGGATTGGCTTGATGACACGGCTTGCATACCATTTGGTCAAGACAAGATGGCTCAATAGAGCTGAGATCAGGTGAATGTGCTAGTCACTCCATTATACACAAAATACCAACTGGCTGTTTCTGCCCTCTAGTTCCTGCATAGACTGGAGCTGTGTTTGAGTCATTGTCCTGTTGTAGGATGAAATTGGCTCCAGTTAAATACCATCCACAGGGTATGGCATGACATTCCAAAATGGAGTGATAGCCTTCCTTCTTCAAGATCCCTTTTACGCTGTATAAATCTCCCACTATATCATCACCAAAGCAGTCCCAGACCATCACATTGACCACCATGCTTGACCGATGTCGTCAAGCACTCCTCCAGCGTCTTTTCATTTGATCTGCGTTTCTTCTTTGATCTGAACATCTAAAACTTCCATAGCACTTTTTTCGACTTCCGCTTTCCAGTGGCTGTGTTAATTTTCCCATCTCAGTCTTTTCTGGCTATTTGGAGATACAGCTTTTTCTTTGCAATTCTGTCTAGAATAGGGGTGCAACGATTATTCAACATTGTCGACAAAAATCGACTAAAAATAGTCACAGACGAATTTTGATTATCGATAATTGTCGCCAGACGTATTTTTAAACGGAGTGAGACGTTTTCCTTCCTTTCTACCTGTGCAATACTACCGCTTTCCAAAGGACTGCACCAATACACCACACTGGTGAGATGCAAAAGCACCCACGGCTGGGTGCTGGATATTCTTCTGTCCTACTACTACATTTTGTCTGGGAGTCCATTCCTTCTGCAAGTAGTGCAGTGTTCTTGCTCTGCTATCCCACTCACATAGGAAACACATGTATTTTGTATATCCTTACTGGAATTCAGGACCTGCTTTAAGTTATCATACGTCTCTTTCATGTGGACAGCATACGCAACTGGAATAGAAGGAAGACGGTTCCCATTGTGCAAGAGCACAGCCTTAAGACTTAGTTTCGAAGAGTCTACAAATAGTCTCCATTCTTTTGGGTCATGAGTGATTCCCAAGGCATTCATGAGGCCCTCAACATCGGAACAGAATACCAGATCATTACCTTCCTTTCTGAAGAAAGGCTCCAAATGCTGATGGCGCTTTCAATAAGAAGTAATTGTGACATCTTCTTCTAGAAGATTCCATTGTTGGAGTCTTGAACCTAGCAGTTCTGCTTTGTTCTTGGATAACTCCAAATCACGAACCAAGTCATTTAGTTCTTCCTGTGTTATTGGGTGGGCGGTTAACGATGGACCGCAGTGAAAATCTGGATCACAGCATGCTGACGGACCAGGAGAAGAACAAGTTGGCTCACCCACGTCCTCATCAACTGAATCAAGAGAATATTCTGCTGGAGGTTCTGGAATAGGAAGTCCCTCACCATGTGGAACTGGTCTCAATGCAGAGGGTATGTTGGGGTAGACAATTCTCAACTTTTTCTGCTTCGTAATCCCGCCGGAAAGAGGAGGAACTAAGCAGAAGTAACAGTCATTTGTGTGGTTACTTGGCTCTCTCCACACCATGGGAACTGCAAATGGCATTGATGGTCTTTTGCCATTCAACCACAGTGAAAGCTGTGCTGTACATGTAACACAGCATATATGTGGGGCCCAAGGTTTGTCTTGATCGCCAAGCTTGCAACCGAAGTAAAGCTGATATGCCTTCTTCACTTGAGAAGTGATACTTTTCTTCTGGTTAGCAAAAGTCACTTCTCCACAAATATAACAAAAGTTGTCAACGTTATTAACGCACTTTCGAGGCATTACTGTTATGACTAAATGTATGAAATAATTAATATATAATTAGTTTAATCTAGCAATAGCTTCATCTGTATCCCACGAAGTCTTGCATAATATTACATGCTGACGTTGCTCATGCTAGTACACTGCTGACGTTAGCTTACTTCAGCAGCCGCCTAGCAGGTTCATTATTATTCAGAAAATGATGCAATAAAAAACCCTGAATTATAATTATTGTGCCATTTGGTGCAATATTACGTCATTCTAGGCTTATTTAAGATGTTGTTACAGTCCTACTAGATAAATTTACACGGTGAAACGTAGAAAATGCGCTATATGAATTATCTTCAAAATGAGAGTCAATTTCATGGTCATTTTCATGTTCAGCACATCAGAATACTATAGAATATGACACTTTTAAGTCAGTTACAAATTCAGTGTTGCCCAGTGTAATAGGGCATAATAATAGGCTAGTAGTAGTATATTTTACATTTTCAAAAAAGATCGGAATAGAACGTATTTATGTTTGGAAGTCAGTGGTGTGTCATGAAGCGTCTCATTCGCTAATAGCTAAAAAAAGGTCAGAAAACAGTGGAGAAAACCCACTGCTTAAATAGATAAAGAAGCGAAAGCTCAAGATTCAGAACAGTGGCTCCGATGTCGCAAGTGCTGCGAGAGCTTATGCTCCGTTAAAAATAAATAAATAACCGCAGTTTTGAAGTCCGTTTTCTTGCTGTTAAGAGAGGAATGGCAGTGGGAAGCTGCTCTAAATTTCCCGTATTTTTGGTCGGGATCTTGCGATTTTTCAGTCTGCTTTAAAATGTTTTTATTTGTAAACATAGGCTATATAAATAGCTGATATGACAAGAAATTTAAACCTCTATACCGCAAATGAAGTACGAATTAGCATATACGTACAGGTTAAAATGCATGATAATGTCTTGTCATATCAGCGCAAATGCACGTAAAATATGTACGCATTTGCACTGTCACAGCAATGGATTGCCACACGTATCGCTTTTAAAGGTGAATGCGTACCTGCGTACCAGTTATATGCAGCCCTGATTATAACAAAGATTGTATCAGAAATTCGGATTGATATCGACGCCGATCCAGACATATTTGACGGATCGGGTATCGGCCATGTGTGACCAATCCACATCCTATACTTACTCATTTAGTTTTACCGTAAGATTTCTTGGGTGAGCATTGGAGTCAAAGAGCATGAGTGTCATGCCAGATATGAGAGAGATGGCAACCCTGTATTAAGTACACTTTAATAGCTATTACAGTTGTATTTCAAAGAGACAAAAAAGTGACATCGGTAATGTTTTCTCATTTTTGTTTTATAATTGTCAGCGTAACAACGTTAAGGGAATGACAAGTTGCTTCAGCCAAAAACAGTGCATTTTACAGTTCATTTCAAATAAAATGCCGAGTTGCCAACTTTGGTCAGCTGGCTGGAGTGAGATTTTCAATTCAAGAGAAGTCTGCACACATATGCACACTCATTTACATGGATTGCAAGCTACACCAGCCGTTTTGATGTTGCTAATTTTAGGTTTGTAATGAAATAATGTATTTTTGCTGTAAGATTTCTTGTGTGAGCATGAGTCACACCAGATGCATGAGAGCTGGAAACCCTGAAAACATACGTTTTTAAATTTTCACCTGAGTTGATTTGTATAAAAAAAAACTTTTTTTGTCACTGAGTATATATGCTGACTTAGCTAACATGTTTTTCTTCTTAATTTGCCACTATATATATGTAACCAGGTTATTTCTGTTTATTGTGTATAATTACATAAAATCTGTTTATTTAGAATTTATTTTTTCTATCGCGACTTGCCGTCAGAGTGTGTAATACAAAATTCACACAATGCTGATAAACCGGTTATATGTACTATACAAGGACAAGCAGCGGCGCCGCTAGAGATTTTGGGCCCCATGAAAGCATATCATATTAGGCCCCCCAGTCCAAACCAATCCAGTTATTTTCCTAATTTTTTAGGGCCCCTGTCACTCAGAGGCCCTTGGAATCGTCCTAGCTTTCCTCCCCCTTACGGCGCCCCTGAGGACAAGTACTCAGGTTACCACTGAAGGTTTGAAGAAAATAAAATGCTTTATTTTTTATAAATAGGCTGTTATATAATTAGACTGTTGACTTATTGCAGTCTTAATGGTATTCTGCAAATCCATATCATGGCAGTCATTCCAGACACTGCAAATCCAGTCCACTATGACACCGGTGTACTGACCACCCCTTCTATTTACTAAAGCTGCTAACTTAAGAATTATGAGGCATCTGTTTCTCAAACTCAGCACTCTAATATATTTATACTCTTGCTCAGTTGTGCACCGGGGCCTCCCTCTCTATTATGATTACAGCCAGGTTGTGCTGCTCTGTGAAGGGAGTAGTATACAAAATTGTACGAGATCATCAGTTTCAGGCAATTTCTCACCTGGAATAGCTTTCATTCCTCACAACAAGAATAGGCTGACGAATTTCAGAAGAAAATTCTTTATTTCTGACCATGTTCAGCTTGTAATTGAACCCACAATTGCTGATGCTCCAGATACTCAGCTAGTCCAAAAAAGGCCAGTTTTATTCCATCTTTAATCAGCACAATTTTTATCTGTGCTAACATTATTGCGGAAGGGTTTTGTAATGATCAATTAACGTTTTCAAATGATAAGCTTGCATTAGCAAACATAACCTTCCAACGGAACACAGGACTAATTGTTGCTAATAATGGGCCTCTGTACACCTATGTAGATATTCCATTAACAAAACAATGGTTTCCAGCTATGATAATCATTTACAACATTAACAAATGTCTACACCATATTTCTGATCAATATGACATTATTTTAATGGACAAAAACTATATATGTCCCAATGTACTATACATTTGGTTATTGCAAATGAGTTTTGTTTAATTACAGACCTTATAGAGGGCCTATTTAAGAGTCACATTTAGTAAACTAATAGCAGTTCGTA